AGGCAGGGAAGTATATTCCAGATAGCACTACAATTTTTTTTTTTCATTCAAACGAATTTGAATTTACAAGTGAAAATACGGAACCATGTACTGCCTCTACCAGAATGCAAGATGTATTTCATGAAAATTTGTAACAATAACAAGACTTAGTTTCGTTTGCAATACATGTGGGAGGTTTAGGTTAGCTCAACTTCAGCATTTAAGTAAAAGCAGGATTATAGGTCTATCTTCTTCAGGATTTAACTTTTACAAAGACATAACAGACCTCCCTACTATTGTCAAGAAAAACATTCATTCAGTTAGACTGTGGTACATTTGTGAGAAGCATGTCTATAGATTCCTGAAGGTGAGAGAAATGACAAATAAAATTATTCAATGCATTAGAGGCAAAAATACAAGTTGGAAAGATCTGTGACAGAAAATGTGACGGGTCTCTTTAAGATTTTGTTTCAGCAAATATAATAAAATACAGGCTTTCTTTAGCAACTTGCTTGACAAATGGAACAAGTTTTTTCCTAATGCCAGCCTTTACTTACATTCATTTCTTTGCTACATACACATCATCTGGCTTTAGCACAAACCAAATACGTCCTATACGTACATGGAAATCTACTGTGAGGTAAATCTGGCTACAACATTCTCCGCTTGTCTGTGTTTAAAAAATTTCACACTTTTTATTGTGACTACTACTGAAATTAAGCACTGCAAAAGAAGAGAGTGGAACTTCTCTTCAGAAAGGGATTTCCTGCATCCCTTATTTTTGCAATGCTTTATTGACCTCTATGTCTATAAGGACCAGTTTCATTTAAAAAAGCACCTGTTGGCAGTTTTTCTCTACCCAATATATTCTCTGGCTCCAGTCAAGCATTTCACAGTAACAGCTATACCTGTGAATAGCTGTCTGAAGCTAAGATGGATACAGAATACAGAAACCGCAGTTAAGTCATTGAGCAGTGACTTTGTTATTGTGTAGTAACTACAACCCCCTTTTTTACAAACAGAGATATCCAATCCCTGAATCTCTTGATTTCACTCATATTGTGAATAAGACCCTACACATACATTACCTTTAATACCCTGAATAGTTCATTAATTTAAATTCATGATACAAAATTAAGCATATACAGCAGCCACAGTCTCAGAATGAGTTTAAGCACCTGCTAATAACGGAGGCATTATTCAGCACTTAATTGCCTCTAGTTTAAGTCTTGTTTGAGAGAAAACTACAGTAACTCACTGTCTTCCATGCTGAAGAGAAAAGAAAAGAGAAGCAGCAAAGCAAAGGACAGAAAAGGAGAGAAAATGAGGGAGAAATGAGTTACAGAAGTGGATGACTGCATGCAATTCAGGCTTTTTCCACTCGCCAGCCGGCGCCTCCTTTCTGGTCAATGATGCAGTTCAGAGGAAGCAGGGTGGTGGGGAAGATCTCACAAGGCGCTGCAAAAGACAATACCAAAAGGAAAAGCCTTACTTGGCTAAACAAAAATGACCTAAAGGAAGAAGATAGGTAAATGTTCTCCTTGTTCGCAGGCTGACTTAATCATGCCACATGGTACTGTAATTCTTTCACCTTCCTTAACCTTTACTCATTAGTATGGACTTTCTATTAGTCATGTACATAATAGGAATGATGTTTTAGCAACTTGGTATATTTTATGGGGCCCTGAACTTCTCTGAGCGTTATAAAAGAAAGTAGCATTCAACAGAATCAGTTCTAGTTTTGCAGCTATGACAGTTAAACATTCTTTATTCCAACTCCAATGACATATGCTTGTTTCTATTCCAGTTAATGGCAAAATCCTGACACACTAGCAAGTAGCAAATTAAATTCTAGGTTAGTCATTCTACAAAGTTTTTTTAAAGTTCAGCTTCTAAATGATAAAAATTTACAGATAAAAATATCTGTTAGTAAAGTTTCAGGTTGTGTCATCCGTAAGCTGCTATCGCTGCTTTTTCTTTGGGATAAAATACACTTCTAAAGGTCAAGAATGCAGTAAGTGACAACATATAAAATAGAAAATTGTTTCAAAATAAACACAAGTTACGAAAAACGTTCTTAAAACTCTAATCACAAGTACTTTGCTGATCCGCAGATATTGCCATAAACATTTGGACCTGTACACAAATATCACAAATAGGTAGGCTAAATTCACAAAACTTCCAAATGTCTCAGTGTTAGTGTTCACATTTTTTTCTCAGGGCCACCAAATGCGACACCTGATATTCTTATGGTATTTCCATTATTCAGATATTAAAATACTGCAAACAAAATCAGAAGTGGGTCCTGGAGGCCTAAGTCAAAGCTTGTGAAAATCTTAAACACAAACAAAATATATGTGTGTAACTGAAATCTGTGAGTACTGTCCCTTTGTGAAGGCCAAACAGGAGCTCCTGGATTTGCTAAGTGCTGGAAATAAAACTGCAAAAATAGAAGCAAATTCCAGCACCAATTCCAACAAAAAGCAAACCACTAATCTCATAGGTTAACTGGTGGGATTGTTAAATAATGATTACTCCTATCTAGGGGGTATCTGTTTGCACATTAATTATACAAAACTCAAGGCTGAAAGTGAAACCTAGAATTAGCAAGTTCATACGCATGCTCTGAGGCAGGACCAGCACGTCTAAACTAACTGCTTTTAAAAATTGCCAAGGAGGTTCTTTCCACAACATCGTTAAACGTTCTGATCCTCCAAGAAAGTAAGTTCTCCTTAATATGTTGTCTATACTGACATAAAATCAGCTGATTACTTCTTATTCCAAACTTTGTGAACAAGATTGGAGTCTAGATTACAGACTCATTTTCCATATGAAGAGACTGCCATCACGACTCACCTCCTTCTTGTCTTTGCTAAGCCAAAAGAAGTCTTTCACTCTTTCCTCACAGGCAATATTCCTTAGCATGTGTTGCCTGGATTTTATTAAGTTCTTGACATCTTTATATCTTTCTTACAGATAATCAAAATATTCTACCTCCAAAGATTCAGTAAAATCAGATTATCTTCCTTTTGATGTTCAGTTCATAAGGGTCAAAATATTTGCCTTTTTTTGTACTGCACTAGTGACTAATATTTATTTTGTGATTCAGTATAATCATTCTGCCGTATTGGTTTTGGCAGTTATTCCTTAGTTTCTTTCCCTGTAATTGATTTTTCCTTCTTACGTGGAATTACTTTGTAACTTATTTCTTAATTTTATTGATTTTGAATTATTTCAACAATTTTTCAGTGTAATTTTGAATGGTAATTCTACCATTCTCAAGACCTTGCAGTCATCCAGAAGTAACAGTTGCCTGAATTGTACATGCTGTTGCAATAGCGTAAAAGCACAATTTAGCTTACTAGTGCATTTTTTATTCTATCAAATAATTAGTTAACGTAATAGGAATAGACTAAACATGGGACTATCCCATTTGGGATACCTCTTGATATTTCCTCTTGGATCAAAAATTCAAGTTTAAGGACAAGATCAGTGTCAATCAGCTGAATGCCCACTTTGTAACTTCATTTGGATGTGGTTTTACTGAATTGCATTTGACTGATTTTTTATTTTTTTCCAGTTCATCAAGTTAATTTAACATTTAAATTCTTCCCTACAGATTGCTTGTAGTTTTTCTAGGTAGGCATTTAATTGACATTCTCTGCTTCTTCACCAAATTTATTAATGAAAATACTGAGTAGCATGAATCCTTGACAGACTCTCCCGCAATCCCACTTGACAGCTTGGTGGTGAACCACTGGGAACAATCTTGGCCTTTAGTTGAATAGATAAGATTCAACCAAGACTTGGACCATGATTGCTGGTACTGTTGAAAGTGCCTGATCCAAGCACAAAAACTAGAAAAGAATTACCAATGAGTAACAGCAGTAGGTAAATTCTGATAATGAGGATTAAAATGAACACCTCTTTGGGGCAGAGATGTCTGGGATCTCAGAAAAATGTTTTGCAAAGCTAAGCCTAGGAATAGAAAGCCTGAGGAAAAAATAATGCATTTTTTTGGTTGGACAGGCAGACTTTTAGGACATGGCATCAGGCACATACATTTTATCTGTCTCAGATTATCTCTTCTTGCTTGAAAAGTTACGCACGTTGTGCTGGTGTATTTTATTACTCTCCAGATGCCATTTACAGTCAGAATTCCTCGTGTCATATCAGGCTCCGAACAATTTTCTGATCAATCCTCCAAGCCAAACAAGACCATAATTTTCCATAAGAAAAAGAAACTTCCTAGAACAAACCCAAATTCGAATCAGAAATACAAAAGCTTCATCTTGCCTTTACTGCTCTATAATTCAGCTAGCTGCACTCAGACAGGAGGGTAAGAAGGGAATGTTTCCTTCTGCCACTGCTTCTTTCTGTCCGAAGTTGGTTGCCGTCATGGAATATCTGTGCTCTACATATCACAGATTTCTTTGATAAACTGACCCAACAGTATCCTGGAATGCTGAGTATTACTAAGCCTCAAATTACTGCAGATTTCTGTTCCTAATGTACAAAGAAAATCAAGAGATTTTGAATAAACAGGCATGTGCTTGTTGAGCAATTACTCCCTGCCACATATAATACTGAAAAATTTCTCATTTCTTTTTCAGAACAGACTTTGCATATCAGCCATCTGCCACTGACTGTAGCCATCAGCTAATATTGAAGCATGGTTTCATCTTTCACTAAAGGATTAGCCCATGCCATTCTCATCTGATATAGTCTTGCCCATCCATATATTTAACACCTTATTTTTAAATGTCTCTTTCCTGGTTATAACACAGAGATTATTATTCTCAGAGGTGATGAGGAGATGATCTGTACAAGTATGAGGGGAGCATTCCATTAAATCTTCCAACAAGCTCTGAAAGGGCTATAAACTCTCTTTGTTGTGGGTGCAGTTGAATCTTTTCTGTTCTCTTCTTTCGCCAGGAAGAAATGAGTGGCTGGAGTGTTTGATTCTATATATAACTAGTTGATGTCAGCTGGATGCCAATCCCTTTGAAGAGGATCAGCCCCCAGTTTGTCTCGGTACTAGGTACCATGCAGATCTAAGCACAAGGGTAGAAACCATCCCGGACCAGGCAGGTCATCCCCATGCATAACTCCTGAAGCTTCAACTAAAGGGTTGACATCGCTCTTTTCTGCACAACAAAACAGTAGGGTAAGTGTATTGTTTCCTGAAATATTTTGACATTGTCTGTCCTACAAACTGCCATATAAAAGACATTTATGTAACCTCTTGACTCTGCAATTAAAAAGATGTTTATTTTTTTACTGAGTCAGAAATGCACTTTCTTTAAAGATGCCAGAGCATCTCATTTAGTTCCTCAAATTCTTTATTAGACTAAGAAATGTCAAAATGTAACATTTCTGAAAGCATAAACCAAGATTTAATTAAAATATGAGTTATGAATTTACATCTTTTAATTTAATGTGTAGATGTGAGAAGGCCTTGACCACTGACACTGATTTTGCTACAGAATTTATGTAGGCAACTCAAAGTCCCTTCCTTCGAATCTTCTATCCATCAGAACATGTCCTGGTGTCTGTCTGCAAGCAAGAAGTGCCAGTGCATTTTGCACAATTAAAAGTGCAGTGTTTCTAAAACAGAAATAACTAACTTCACTATTCAGCCATTCTAAACAGGCTATTAGAAATTAAAGTTGGCCAAATTGTGCAAGCTGGCTCAACAACGTAAAAATGTGTTGTTTTTTTTCAGCAAGGAAAAATCGTATCAGAAAATCACAATGTTATCACATTCTGCCATGGTCAAAGAGAGGAAACAACAAGCATCAGCCATTATGGATGAAATACACAGAAATGGTATAGCGCTGAACCCAGCTTACTATATATGCAATGTCCTCTAGCCTTCCCTAATATATTTTTTTAATCATAGTGTTTAACTTTCTTACAGCTTTGTCTCTGGGTGTTTTGCCATAAATAATCTTGTGGGAGTATCATGCTGCCTATGGTAACTAATCCTTTTGTAGTTGCCTCTTTTCATTTGAAAGCTATTTTCAGATGAACAACTGCTGCGGAGGAATGAAGTAATCTAACAGCTGATGTACATTCTGCTAGGATAGCCTTTCAGAATATTATTTGGGGTTAATAACATGACTTCACTCCACTTTAAAAGGCTATCATCTAAGAAACATGCTGATCTGTATCCTCTTTTTTCGCTCTGTTTCACTCTGCTTTTTTATATGAATGATAAAAAATTTTGAAACAAGTGTTCACATCTCTGTTCCTTCTTCTCAAACTTTATCTTTGTAACTAACAAATTTTACTAGCATTTGGCAATTCTCTCTAATGCATAGCCACCAATTATTCTTTTGGAAGAAACTTCTACTTCTCTGTTGTTGCGCTGATGAAAATGCAGGCGCTTACAAGAAGGTAGTTTGATCTTCTAAAATAGGTCCTTAAAATTACGCTTCTAGTTCGACACCTTAAGAAGTAATTAACTCAGTTGGGAATACAAATCTGCTTGGCTTTCATTAGGTATGTGCTGGATGCTTTTGGAGATCCTTCCAATCCTTTTTTACCATCTATGTAAAAGATCAGCTTTTTAAGTGATAAGCACCCCACAAGCCTCACTGAAAAAACAAAGTGCTCCATTAATATTTAGAATTCATGAAAATTACACCATTCACATAGGGTAAAACACTGAACATTAAACTCCAGTATTGAAAATCTTTCTGGTAGGCTTTTGGTCCAAAGAATTTGGCATGGTTTCTGTACTCACTTACAGACCATTGTGATTGCATGAAGAGTAGGATAAAAGACATAAGGTTTTTAGAAAAAGCAGCTACGAGTTTCAGTGCCTGGTCCTAGTCCTTCTGATATTTCCATAGTTTTTTTCTGTAATTTCTGTTCCTAAGCAAATACCTCTTTCCATTGTCCACTGAACACACACACTTAAGTCTGAAAGCCAGTCTGCCCTTACCGATTTCATTACAACTCCTTTTTTTTTTTTTTTTTTTTGGTATTGTAAAGCCGAGTACTATATGTGCCTGAAACAGCCTGTAAGCTCTTCAGGGAAGAAAAAAACCCCAAGTTTTTCATATGTTTGTTTGGAGCTAGGCATTTCACATGGTAAATGTTGCTACTATTCATAGCAATACTAATAAATCTACCACACAAATCTTGAAATCATTGGCGCTATTGGATAATCTGTGCTGATGCTTGGCATTTGCCTCACATAATCTGTCCTTTTGATTATTTATGTATTATCAGATTTGCTGTCAAGTTTAGGTTCATATACAGAGATATGAGAGCTTATCCTACAAGATATGCTGTGATATGTGGCCACTGAAGGCAATACTAACTCTTTAAGTGTACATTCTACTATAGTATCTTCTTTGGATGCCTGGGACATTTAAATGTTAAAAAAACCCCAAAAGTCCATGAAATGGGTGTGATAAGAGTCTGAAATTTGTAACTGTACAAGCTCAGTGAAACCAGTTAAGAAATGGCAGGTTAACCAAAGCTGTAATCACACAAAGTATATGCTAGTTCTTTGGGACCAAATCCAAACAATTCTTGGAAAAATCAAGGAGAAGTCTGTTTTTTAAATGGCTACATTCAGCTTTATTAATTTTTGACATTTTATTTTTCCCCTAATTGTTAATGCAACAAGCTTAACCTGAGATCTGGAAGGTGAACTGCTGTCTTTCTGGTTTTGGCATCGCTATTAGTAAAGATGGTCCTGTCCCTGGTAAATATGTACAAATGAAAAGTACTGTTTCAGCCACTCTCTCAGACCTGTGGAAGTCTCCACTGTTAAGAGAGGTGAACAGTAATAGAAGACTCTGTAACACAAGCCTGGGTAGCTTGGGATGACAGACAGAAAGCATACCTACTGCATTTTTATTTCATCCTCTTTTTATTATAATGCTTTCAGGCAAACAGTGAATCTCAAAGTCCTTGTTAAAAGATATTCATAGCAAAAAGAGTTGTTGGTAGGTTACAAAATCAGCCAAGTTCTACCAGTGCCTCCAAGATTGCCAATCTCTGGGCAAGAGTGGTAATGACTGGAAAGCCCACATCTTCTGTGGGCTTGTGGGACATGACTTTGTGTTTTAGAGAAGTTTGACAGGCCATGAAATGCTGCAGGAATAGACACTAACTGTAAACCCTCTTACGGTCTCAGAAGAGAGACTGTAGTAGTAAATCAGCATGTGGTTTTTCACTGGCAGACTTGGACTAATCATAACATTTGTAAGGCTGCTTGGTAGAGGTAAATATGTATGTAAATACGTCTAAGGAAGCCCTTGGAGTTCATCAGGTTAGCCTTCAATTACACTTCAATCTCACATCTGCTTCTATACTATTTCTTACATGCATTCTTCAGTAGCTACATGATTAACTATCCTTCATGATACAGTTAAAAAATCTTATTTCTGATACTACAACAAAGATACTATCTGATATTCATTATTAAAATTTATAATCCAGATTAAGGTATTTAGAAGATTGTAAACTGGAGGATTAAAGGGGGATCAGGCAGTGAATGCAGGAGGAACTATATAAATCATATTTAGATATAGTCTGATATGATTTTAAGCACAGGACAGGAAGGATTTGGCAGGAACAAATTAAGAAATGAAGCTAAAACGTTAAGATTAGGATTAAACTATGACTTAAACTTCCAGTATTAATTTACAATGTCCATTTATGACATTGATGTTCTCTGTCATCCTCTAAATGTCCTCCTTTTCTCATTCTTCATCACCTTTTCTGCACTGACACTGAAACAATCCCTAGACACATCATAAAACTAGACAGATGATTAGATTTTAGTTGGCAAGGGCTTCAAATGAACTTCACACTTATGTTTTTGGGATGCTGCCTGGATCACAATAGTACACAACTGTGAGTTACAAAGTACCTTGGAGCCTTCAGTTAACATTAACAAGAACAGTACGCATGTAAGGGAACAGCAAGGCCCAAAATAGGTAACATGCAGCGCGTCCCAGAAGAATACTGAGTGGTTTGGACAAGAGATCTGCAAACACCTTGGCACCCCAGTCTCTGAGGATGTCCATACTACCCACCCTGAGTACAAAGAAGAAAAGCTTTTTCAACTTGAAAATGTTGCTGATTTGAGGGGTAAATTTCTTACTCCTTACTAATATAAAACCAACAGTCCATACCCCTGCAGTAATCTTGAAAAATGACAAAAACCAAATACAAATTCTGGGTCTAAATTTCAGGCCACAGGCCAATAACCAGCGCACTTAACCACAGAGCCAACCCCCACCCCCCCCACTATCTATCACTGATACGGCTACACTGGGCAAGCACTGGGCAAGCTGAGCCATTTTCTTCCATGTTAGAACTCTTTGTTTTGTAGTTACCTCTTAAATAACAGGAGGTTGTTAGGATTCTTTGGCATACTATTTTTAAAGCGAAAGTGCAGGCTCCAGCTGATGATACAGTTAGTTTGCTCTTGCTCCAGCTAAACCTACTGCAAACATTCAATTGAAATCAGTATGACCAGAAGTGGATCAACAGTGATGTACTCCAGGGCCCACAAACTTGTTTCATTTACTACATGGAAAACTTTTGCATATACAGCTTCAACCAAATATTTATTACACCTATCTCAATTAAATTTTCCTAACTGTCAGCAAATCCTACTGCTTTTCCAACATAAAGTTACTAGGAGACATATGCCATGCTGAACATGCCATTTACTCAAACTGAAACAATATTAACTTTGATAATAGGTACCTTCTGCAGTTAATTAATTTGTAACGGTAATTTTAACCTGGACTTCCTGTGTGCTTACTCTGGAAGCAAGATACAGTGTCTTACATATAATTTGCTTTCATTTCATTTTAATGCATTAAAATATATATCAAAATTCAGAATTTTAAATCCCGTAGACCGTAAGAATATGTGAAGAATAGAATGTCTTATTAACAGAATGTGACTTCGAATAAGTGGATCAAAGAAACATACTAGACCATTGATATAATCCTCAAAGCACACTGCATCTTCCTATTTTTCTTCCTGAAGTTTATGAACAACTGCGGAGAACAATTTCAATTATTAAAGTTACACATATTAAAGTAAGTGGCAATACGAATTATTTTCTTAAAAATTCTGGTTTTACTACATGATCCAATTATTGTTATATTTACTAAATTCTACAACCTTCTAAGCAGAAATAAATTACTAGAAAATAGTTTTTTCAGTGTTAATGTTACTGTATTCTAAGGTTTAAGCTTTATCTATAGGTTGAGGACATCTAGTAAGAGAGTTCAGTCACTAAGCAAGAGCTTGCTCATTGCCACCAGCATCCCAGTTTCCAGAAGATTACCATGAAGACGACTGGTAGAGTTTCTGATAGTCAGAGTTCTCCATCTACAGTCCCAATTGATCTCCCCTTCCCTGCTTATGCATTTTCATTTTCAAATCCCCCAGGAAGTCACTAAAAACAAAGAAGGAATTTTTCCCAAGCAGTGAACACAGTAATATTGCATCTAGTAATTCAGTTTCCTCTTATAGAGAATTAACAAGGAAATGTTCTAAATGTATCAGTTTCCAGAAGCATGTTGTAATTCTTTGCTAGGGTTCTCATTTTCAACACTTTGAGCTTTACTTTGAAAGCTTCTTTAAGAAGAGTTTTAAAATACTGTTTAATAGAGACTTTCTAATGCAAACTTTTCTTAAAGTACAAAACATGCCCTGGATTTCAAAAGCAAGCAGAATATTAAAGAATAATTGAAAATAAAATGTTTATAAGCAACAAGAAACTGGTAGGTATGTTTAAAAGGCATTACCTGCTCATCTATCTAATGCAGGACACAGAAAGTTAACTGAAGGTTTGATGTGGGAACCCTGGAGTCAGACCGAATGTTGTTCCTGGTTTCAGCAGAAGCCAGTTTTTACTAGTCTGCTATTAGGATGGTGTGTAGGACATTATAGATCTGATTTTGGTAACACATGAATGCCATCCAACTAAAGTAAATTTAGAGCTTGAGGTGCTTAGCATCTTTGAAAAAACAGGTTTGTGGTGTTCAATGCTCCGCTCCAAAATTTTGGAAAAAATTATTAATTTCACTAATACCATATGAAGCTATGCTATGTGTTAGGTAAGCATGCACTAACATGTTGTTGGATTTCAGGTGTAGGGTATGCAATATCGGGCATTTAAGAAAAACAGAGGTATGTATTTATCCATTGTATTGCAGTCTCATCCAGCTTAAACCTTGGAAAAAAGGTCAGCACCCCCAGAGATATCATGGTAGAGGAACTATCGACACTCAGCAACAGAGGTGCAAGACTCTTCAAGAGACGTCAGCGGAGATCTGACAAATACACATACGAAAATTATCATTATGTACCAAACAAGCCAAGAAATGTGAGTATTTTGTAATATCTTATTAATGAAACACAGTGAGAGTAGCTTGGGTTCCCTTGGTCCTCCTGATACACATTGTGCATGATTTAGGTATAGTTTCAGGAAGAATAAAAGCAAAATCCTGTACTAGAATGAGGCTTACATGAAGTGAGCCATTTGTACTTTATTGCGCTTCTACAGAGAAATAAAAAATCAGAAAGCCTTAATACTTAAGGACATCAGATTCAAATCATTCTCATTCAAATCTGATTCAGGTTACTAGTGATCAGAGTTGTTATCCTGTAATAACTGGCTCGTTTACTATTGAAAATTACCTAGTTAATGTGAAAATTAACTAGTTAATGATATGCAAAAGGTTGGAAGAAATAAATCTGTTTCATGCAACCAGTAAGTATTTTTATTAAAATAGGCTGGTGGTCTCAGTGTGGTTCCTAGGCGGCAAAATGACTCTCACAACTAGAACTAATACACATCTGGCCCGCCTGTCTCAACAGGGAGAAAAAAGATGGAGCTTCCCACCGAAAGACATTCTTCGAACTAGTCCTTCAGGAATTGGGTTAAAGCATTAGTGATACCCCGGGAATCCTCATGGCAGGAACTAAATGCACCTGGCATTTCTCTCATCTGTGGCCTTTGCAAAATGTTTAAACCTTTTGCTTAACCTCTGAAAATAGGGACAACAACATTCACAAATTTTACCTAACTCTCCAATGTGCTGCAAGGTTTAATTATGTCAACATGAATACTCTATGCTCAGCCTAATACAGCATGCAAGCAGCCCCTCTAATTCCAGTATTGTATTAAATTCTGCCTCTCAGTTAGACCTGAGCATCCCCACTGATCTCAGATACAAAGGTACACGACTAAAGAAGCAGAATTTGTGCCAGTACTTTTAAGCTGCTTTGAAGATGAAAAGAAATACATGCTACCAAAGTTTACTATTATTAATTAACCTAGGAAATATTTCTTGTAGAACAGCAATTGAAGCTTTTACAACTAATCATTGCATAGGTGGTGCTATGATTGTGTTAGCATCCAACTCCTACTGAATCCATACAAAGACTTTGACTCAAATCTTCACTTGAGATAAGAAAAATAGTAACTACATGTAAGGTGGTGTTGTGATATGGTCTACAGTTTGTATCGGTACAAATAGGAAACAACTAATTTATTAATCAGAACAACAAAGCACCAAAGGGCTTACTCCTGTTTAATTTTACTAAAGAAAATATACACACACTTGTATATTAATCAGAAACAATAAAATGAACACAACTGGCTGACTCTAAGGAAACTTCTTGTCTGGTTGCATCTCATAATAAGGCTTTGGGAGCAGACAATAAAAGATGTATTTGTGATTTACCATTGTCCGTGCTAACCAAAAGGTTGAGGGATCTCGCAACAGTCAGAGAGGCAATTATTGGAGCTGAGTGCAGAATTTCCAGTATCACAGCAGAAATCTCTAAAATCTTTTTGTTCCCTTCTTGAAGAAGGATTTCTCTATGCTTTCTTGACTGTAAAGGTAAATGCATTTGTAATTCTGTGACGTTTACATTTCCCATACAAAAAATTAACTTTAATCAGGAAGAAAAGTTGTCTTAATATCCCATGTCACAGAAGAAAAATTTTTACATTTCTTTTTTTATAGTGCAGATATTTCAAACTTCTTTGGTCACTCGCTCAACAGAAAATCAAATTACGCAGGGATCAAATGGGATCATGTTTGAGTTTTGATAAATCTGTCTTTTAAAAATAAATCTGCACAAAAGAAATCCCATATAAAAAATCTGAATAACTCTATTGAACACCCAAAACTATTATTAGAACACTATTATTTAGAAGCCCATCTATGAACACTGTCCCCCCAATTTCTCCCTCTATTGAGTATTAAAAGCTACATAGATAAATTCTGAGCACACCACCATCAATCTTGTCAGAATTTCTGGATCCAGTTCCATGCTTTTGCTCCAAAGCCTGACAGATCAGTTCCCCTCTAGTCTACTTCTTTCCACAAAAACACATCATGTACACATGCTGTACAGTCAGTATGACATCCTGACATGTGAAAAAATGATGCCTCTAGTTTCTGTTCCCTTCCCTTAAACGCCTAGTTAGCCACCACTGGTGGTGTCTTCATCAACTTTATGATTCTGCCTGCCAAAATTAATCTTTCAAACATACTTCAGGATGGCTAGAAAACATTCTGCCTTGATCTTCTTTTGTTTCAAGTTTAAACAAGTATTATTTGTCTGCTTTCCTACTTTAAGAATCTCTTACTCTAAAACAGTCTATATTTAAATTGTTTTTAGCCTATGCATCATAGCTAAAATAAGATACTGACTTCTTATGAGACTCTAGTTCTATATTTATGCAACAATAATTAAGCCTTTGGATGTTTCCTTAGAACCAATGACCCAACAGGAGGGTGGAAAATAACAGCATATCATGAATCTCCAGAAAGTGACCTGCATTGAAGTTGTTATTTCTATTACAAATAAAGGAAAAGAAAATCCTAAACAAAAGCAATTCAACAAATGCAGAGAATTTTCAACTGATATGGGAAGAGATGCTTTGAAGAATCAGTGCTTTGAAACTCAGACGGCTCAAACTTGCCAGACTTCTTGAATCTTTGGGTAGCAGGGGTGCTCTGCCTGGCACATAACAGCTTCTAGTGTCTAGTGATCCAGGGGACACATTTTATAGGCCTCCCTGCCAAAGTGACCAGATCTACTCTTTGCTGTGAACCACACAGCCCACATGCACAGGTAGATTTTGTGGTGATTGGGGTAAGCAGCAGATGGGATGAATTCTCTTCATAGACTGCAGATTAATATTTAAACATCCCAAACCTAGGAAAAGGTCAGACAACTCATCTGCATGGTTATAAGGCTTTAGCAGTCTGTTGACCTAGCTCACACCACCTCCAATCCTTTCAATAAAGCATTCACACACTTGTAATACAGACATTTAAAATTGTGCTGGGATATCACTCTTAACACTGAGAAAGTATTAATTTTTGCTTACATAGCCAACATAAGAGTTGTGAAACTGTTTCAACTCCTGGCTACCAGCCAGAAAATCCTGGGGAGTGCTATCTAGCAAACAGGGTACCAAACAGCAGGACAGTATGCCTTTGGATTGTATATGCTGGGGCTCAGATCCGGCTGTAAACTGGACTAGCACTCCAACCCTCAACAGAGAACCACAGAGGCTTTTTTGGTCTATTTTGATATTTATTTCTATTTGAATGCAGCGTGGAGAGCCCATACAGAGTGCTAAAATGGACAGCGTCAGTGTTGACGGAATTCCCCAGCATGCCCCAATGACACCTCCTAATACACCTGATCCCCGGAGCCCACCGCATCCTGACAACATTGCCCCAGGTAATATATGAGTTTACAGAAATTAAATCTATTTAGTTCTCATGTCACAGCAGAGGAAGGACCTCTTTATAAGACAGTATCTTCAACAAGAATTTGCTAATGGACTTACTATTAGAAATCAATACATTTGAATCAGATAACTAACCAGAATCTCCCACAGAAATGTAAATTAGTGCTCTTCAGTTGCTTCTGTTTATTTTTAAGGATTTCATACGCCTTTTGTACTACTTCTCCCTAAACTGAAAACATGCATTAATATCAAGAGAGACTGCTCCTATATTGACCAGTCTTACAAACATCAAGAAACAGATCCTCAGATTCAAAACCAGATTAATATACTGATTTTTCTTTGTCAAGCCTTTGTTTCTAATATGCAACACACTGCTCAAGTCTGAAAGTTATCCACTGTAGTTTAATTACCCATAAATATAAATCTGAAGTCACTGTAAGTTTTGCTAGAAACCTCTACAGAGGAGTAACTTAAAAAGGAATTTGCCTCTGGCTGCAGAAACTGTTCTAAGTCCTTAACTGTGAGGGTACTGTTGTCTTTATTTAAAGCAGTGAGCTACAAGAAGGCCTTATTTTGTATTCTTTAAAGACTAGAGAAGGGTAATTTGTTTTAATTCATTTATTCAGTGATATAGCCCTTCTTCCTGTTTATGAATTATCCATGAGCAGACTGTGTTTTTTACAAATTCATTCTTTGTTCAGAATTACTCAATGCATGTTTTGTGCAGACCTTTTCCAGCCTATGTAAACTAGGTCAATGCTACTGTGTTAGTGACTGCTAAGGCTCTGTGCATCCATTGGTCAAACACAATGCGAACAGAGGTCATTTCCATCGCGAAGACATGACAGAAATCTTCCAGCCTTTCTTTAGGCGAAAAAGGTCTGGCAAAAGGAGCAGATATTAAACCACAGGGGGTTTCAAGTTTGTAGAAGGAAACAGCATTAAAGAGCTAGATGTAGTGGGAGGGTAAAAGGGTAGAATAGATTTCCCTTGTTTTTCAAATAAATAGTGTAACTCATATAATTGGATAATCCCTTTTAATTCTTCAAATTGTACACTAAGGTCTGGCTTTCCCTCCCCTCCCCCCTATTTATTCCTGCCGTATTGTACTTGGCTTTAGAAGATACCACACTGAACACAGAATTTATTTATTTAGTAAAATTCTGATCAGAGCCTGATCCTCAGATGATTACACAGAGAAAACAACTGACTCTTCACTTTTTCAGATGATGAAAAGGACTAGAGAAGCAAGTAGGTAGGACATTTTAAAGCAGCTAAGGCAGAGGCAAAGACAAAAACTCCACTATAATGGCTGTGATCCTAACTCCTTTTAATGCTTTTGGAATATTTCATCCCAAGACTATAAAATTACCTTAGTTTTAACCAAAAGACTGTTTTTAAAACCTTTCTGTTAATTCAGCCCAAGGGCTGTGCAGCCATAGTCTGGTTTCAAACAAATGCTTATAAAGATAGAAACAAATTTATACAAAACCAAAATAAACTTAGCCTCAAAAGAGGGTGGAAGACTTTGGAGCAGTTAGCTAAAATGCTATAAATTCCCCCTGCCAGCTCTCTGTTTCTGTGTAGCTTTGGCCAGGTGACTTGATCCAATTGTTCATTTTACCTAACTGTGAAATGATGGTACGTTATCTCCTAGTTACATAGGGTGGTGGTAAGGAAGCAGAAAATGTAAAGTATCATTATCATGGTTTTGCCTTGATCGTCTTGCAGGATATTCTGGACCACTGAAAGAAATTCCTCCTGAAAAGTTCAACACTACTTCTGTGCCAAAGTATTACCAGTCTCCCTGGATAGAAGCCATTAGAGATGATCCTGAGCTGCTGGAAGCTTTATATCCCAAACTTTTTACACCTGAAGCAAAGCCAGAACTACCGGACTACAGGAGCTTTAACAGGTAATTCTGAATGGACAATGAATTTTACAGTGCAGAGAAAAATTACTATGAAATGAAATGTTTCCACCAGCTGTAAAAAAACCTACCACCTGTGTTTGCAAGTATAGGCATAAACATGAACATGCACACAGATTACAAGTGGCAAACAAGAGCATCAAGGAGGAAACTAGTCTCTCTCTAAAGCATGGACCCTAAATTAAATTGTAGAACGAGGAACGTAACATGAATTGTTGAAAATATTGAAAGAAAGAAAGAATCAGAATCCAATGTACCCAATAAATATGAACACAGGCTATGGCAATGCTTCAGACTCCTTTCAGGATTTCTGTTGTTGACTTCAGCAGGTGCAGGATTGTAAGATCTATCAGGGAAACTCTCAGTCAAAACTTTGTTTGTAAGCTGTATAATACAAAACACTCTGTTTCTTTTAATACAACTCACATGGCTTGTTTTTTAGGCAATGATAGTACAATGAACTTTATCCCTCAACCAATCCCTCACACCAAATAGTTAGCAGATTGCATATTTAATTGCATTTAATATTTTTATATCTTTGACAACCTTCAGTAACAAATTAACAGATAAAACATTACAAGCAGACTTAAAAAACATTTAAAGTAGAATGGGATCTGAAAGTGAAGTTATTTACACAGTAACACTACACTAAGGCTTTCAGTAGGACTTCTAGATATATGGACAATATTGGGTTTGGAATTATTTTGAAAGTTTTAAAACACATTCTTACTTATGTCTTTTGCTTCATTCATACCATTCACACTACCTTTATTTATTGAAGTTACGGACAATTTTTCTCTAAATAACCCCTGCTGAGTTCCAGACAGCTGAGCCAAAGCAAAACCCTTCCTCAAAATGCCAGACAGCAATCTATTGAAAAAGAAAAAGGCTCATGGCAACATCAACTTAGAGAAAAACACCACAAACATCACTTGTGTTCCTGCTGTTGAGGTGGGCCTCAACTATGAGTGTAAGGACTAAAAAATTACACAATTCAACATCAAAACTGGCACTGCAGACACTACACTAATTCTGAGTTCCTAACAGCAATATACATTGCCATGTTAATAATTAAAGTCTGTGTGGCACACTCTTCTCAGCAGACAAAACAGCAAATACAAGTCAGAGAGATGTGTCACAGCTGCTAACATTGGAACAGTAACAGCACAGTTTCTGTACTATGGTTACTGTAACTGAAACAAAAAACCACCAAAAAAATGCAAAAGATACATACATATATATATATAATAGAGATAGAATCAGTTCTCCCTCTCACAAGAGAGATTCTCAGGAGAGTTCAGCATGCGAGTCGTTACTGTGAAAGACAGGATCAGACAGGGCACAGAGGGCCCATTAATAAGGATATCTGTCTTGAGATGGTGTCTGATGGCTGCTTTGTGGATTTTTAGCTGCTCTGTGGTCCCATATTCTGTTAGTTGTCCTCTTTACAACACTAACTGTTCCGATTTCTTCCTATGGGGATTTTCTCTATGTATGACACGGCAGAACTGTGGCTCACCAGAGTCTGAATTTCTTGAATGTATGTACATTCATATAAGGGAAAGGTCAATATTATCCCTTGTAACCACCATAAAACCCTAAATCCCCGCACATAAATCCAGATCCAGACTGTGAAGTTGGTAAATTCGAAACACAAGGCATACAAATATAACTTACCACAACTCTCCTCCTCATGGAGAAAATCCACGTCCAGAAGAAAATAAAAGGACGCCTAGTGGACCTAGAAAAGCTGTTACATACAGTACACTCAGATTTATGTTTTCTAGCAAGAAGGAATAGATCCAAAAAGAAATTGAGAATTTGCAAAATTGAAATTCAACATACTAGCCTCTTGGAGAGGATTTCACAGCCATGACTTAGGTGTCTACACTCCTGAAAATGCACAGGAGAGTCGGGTGTCCCATTATGGGACTCAAAACACGATAGCACACTGCATGCCAAGGTAATCAACAGAAAACATTACAGAGAAGGCTAAATCTGATTTAAATTTCTCTTTGCTAAGCCATCAGCACTTAATTCTGTCTGTCTGTCTTCAGGTCAGGGCTAGATTAAGCTGCTCCTTTCCAAAAACAGAGCACAGGTACACATGTATTCTTCTAAAATTTGTAGAGACAATAAGGTTCGTTTCTTTGGAAAGAGCATTTTCCTTGAATGTGGCCAGCCTGGATTTATTTCTACAGGAATGTCAAACCCTTAGGTGTAACAACCTGGTTTCTGGCTCTTCCACAGAAGAGGTGGAAGTACTCTTCACTTCCCTTATTAAGACCTGTGTCATAGTACTGAAAATAATAAAGCTCTTTCGGCTAGAGGGAGCAAACATCTTTCTCTACCTGAACAATAAAGAAACTCACGTGGGGAAGGAGAAACCTGGGCCTACATCTGAGTTCCCAGATCTTTCAATGCACTTTCTTTAATTACTGCTTACAGTAAATTAAACAAACAGATTTAGGAGCAGAAAACAGGACCTACACTTCTCTGCTCTTAGTTGTGTGGCCTGATGTCTGGGCTAAGAGTTCCACTCTGTCTGATCCAAGTGGGTTTTTTTATTTCTGGGTAGCATTTTTGCTGGAATACTGTATGTGAGTGGTGAGGTCTACTCTCACAAAGAGATGCCCTCAGACTGAAGAGAATCCAAATCTCTTGCAGAACAGCTCCAGTCACAGACATACTATTATTTGACATACAGGTTCAACACTAACAGCCATGGATTTTGAGTGAAAGTGCCTTGATGTGCTATTTTACTCAAAGCTTGCTGCAGTAGCATATTATGTGTATTTTCAAGCATGGAAGTTTAGGCAAAAGATTATTAATTAGAGAATCACAGATGAGCTTTGGTGTAAGACAGGTGCAGCTGCCAGTATACCCAAGATAAAGGCAGATCTGAGCATTTGTGTAAGGAAAACATTAGGCATCTCAGGAATTTAGCAGCCTATGGGCTTTGCGCACAAGGTGAGATATCCCTTTGGACTTCTGTGTCTAGATCCTACTAAGTCATTCTGTGCATCTAGGTCACAGCATCCTTCACTTCAATTGCAGTCTTGGAGAGAAAGCAAATGATACCGTATTAAGTAAAGTGCAATATAATGGCACCATTTTGTTATCAGTGAGGGTATCAATCAAGGCTTTCTATCATGCTTCATCATTCAATAAAGTGCCATTATGCTTGTTCTCCTGCAAAACACTGGTACAGTCATCATTAGTCAGGAGAGGGTGTGGTTACCAGTAAGTGTGATGCATAGGTCTCCCAAAGGAAAAGGGCCTGAGATTCTTCCCAGTTCATTCAGTGGTATCTGTTAAAATGACACTCAGACTTCACAGGCCATGTTCAGGTTCCTTTCAGCTTTCCTTGTTGCACAACAAACTGTAAAAGCAACACAACTTTAGCAGCTAGGGATGTCTGATGTGTTGGAACAGACACACACATGCATGGCTTAAAAGTATATTCAGCACTAAACAGCATTCAGATTTTTTTTTCCACTGCCAGCAATGAAGAGGAGACTCTTGACTCTGTGGCACTGCAATCTTTATAATAGTAGTGAAATCAGAACTAAGGAATTCATGGAGGTATTAGTTGGGGTCTAGTACGCGTTTTACGCCGCAGGGATCTTGCAATGCTGGCAGGTTAATGAAGGAAGGAGCGGTGGCAGCAGATGTCAAGCACATTTGCCTTCGGAGGCACAGCTTTCAGTGAGACAGCCAGTAATGGTTTAACAGCACATAGCACTAGACACAGAGCATGATCAGAGAAATTGGGTTCTGAGGATCTCTGAACAGACTGTTCAGATCAGGCTACCCTTCCTCCTCCTGGACGAAAATTCATCTGTGCTAGCAGAGAAATGCTGCAGAACAGAGCCAAGCCATCTGATTTCTCTTGGTGATTAATTCCTACTAGGATTGAAGAACTATTCATTGGTGAAAATTTTCCTTGCCTCTTTTACCAGTGTGGAAGCACCTAGTAATCATCTGTGGGAAAGACAGCATGAATCTACATTTGTTGAGGAGTTTGTAATATTAGTTAAATCAGTACCTTTATTCCATCTGCTTTCTTGGAGCTGGATAAAATGTCAAAGGTAGGATTATGAGTAATATACAAAGCACTACATCTTAGTCACATAAGACAAGCAAGCCTGACTAGTTCTGCCTCTCCTACCAGATAAATTCTTGCTCAGCTTTCTCAACTCCCAAAGACTACTGTTTCAAAAACACTGCAAGAATCCAGTCCATCTGGACTGAGCTCTGTTTTTATTGATTAATGGATTCTGAACTCAATTGTAAAAATGCTAAGATCCAGAGCCTCCAAGGAATTTTGGGTGCTAACTAGAACTAATGTGAGATTACTGGAAGCTGGGTGCTTAACCAGTTCCTTAGCACCTAAATACCTCTGTGAAATTGGCATTAGCTCTTGCACTGAACTACCATGAAGCTCTGAGCATTTTGCAGGGCCAGGGTCTTTGCCCCATGTCTCCTTTTTGCACAGAATTAACAATAAGCAGAATGTTCTGACAGTCCCATTTTAAAATGCCAAACTCACATTTTTTATAATTACGTAATTGAAGGTGCTAATCCACTACAGTTAAAACATTTCTTCAGACTTTTCCAAACAACCAACTACACGTAGTCTCCTATGCTGAGACAATATAATATTCAATAAAAAAGACTGCAGGAAAAAAAGAAAGAAGCCCTGCTCAAACAACAGCTAAAAATAAACATGGTTGTGCCTGCTATTCTTAAATCACACACCTACTTTTTAGGAATATGCAAAGCGAGTATTAAACAATCTCTTACGCTTCCTGGTGCCATTTCCTATGGCTCTGAACCAGCATTTCCACCCTTATTAAGGAGCAGTGACTACTGTAATTTTTTACATGAGTTTTAAGCTTGTATACAATGAATCAGAGCTCAAGTGATACAGTTGATGTGCACACAACACAGGTCATTACAACACCATGTTGTCAGACAAGTTATTGCTCACAAAAATATACTGCTGCTGTAAAGGACAACCAACATCTATTAGGCAATTACTGTAGTCTCCTTTATGTCGATCATCATGTGCTTCTGCCTAGCATGCAGGAATGCATAATTCTCTGAGGCAAGACTTTATATAGGAACTACACGGTGGTTTTTCTTCCCACAAAAGACATTTGTATTTCCATAGAACACCCTCCTATTTCTGTTACCTACAGAAACATTCTGTATTTAAAACTCAAAAATATTGCAAAGAGGAAGTTTTACACTACAGCATTGTTTTGCATTTTATACATCGATTATTATTCTGTTCATATTGATCATCCCTTTAATTTACATATAGATGAGAATTAAATATTACAAAAATGTGAGAACGTGTATCGTAATTAGAGCAGCAATTAAAACAATCTTTATTATCCTGTAAGATGTAGATCACCACATTCACTCTGTGCCAATTACCAAGCAATTATTTTTAATCAGTATCATACGGTATCCAATTTGACACTGTGACCTAGAAGACAGTTTCACAATAAAAGCTTGATACCACAGGCACTCTGTATAAAGAATTTCCTTTGACCTCAAGAGAGTTTAATGCCTGGACTGGCTGCTTCTGCAAAATCTTATCTTCATTTGAGAAACAGTTTAAGAGCTTAATTCAAAGCAACGCTCTCCACTCAGTAAGCGTGCATGCCCAGAACTTCCATGATTTTTCATATCTTACATGATTGGCCCTTTGGACTTAACACCATCCCCTTCAACAAATGCTGCTCGTACCAAAATTCAGTGAATTATCTGTGTAATGATACAGCAGTACCATTTCTTTTAGGTCACAGACTCATTTTTCTGAACTAATCTCTTTTTTGTGTGTGTGTATGTACTTAATTCTCCCTATTTATTTTGTTTTATCTAGAGTTATCTTGCTGAAAATCTTAGTCAGATCTTCAAATGATCTCTTTTTGTTCCTCTTGGTATTAATTTCTCTGGGCTTCTGCTGTAATACCTGGAGCCACTGGAAATATATAACAGCAGATCTGTTGTTTTGTATCAAATACACAAAATCTACCAAGGCTGGTGAAATTCCATTTCAACAAAAATTCATTTTTGCATGCCACTATGTGTCTAGCTTTGCAGAAATCAGGTGCTCATGTGTAGCTTAAAAATCTGACACTCTTAACTGCCCAGAATACTCCCAGCAAAGTTACACAGCTGATCAAAATGCAGAGCACATGTAATAGTCTGTTTGGTCATGTTTGCTTATACAAAGGAGTCTGGAAAAAGTGACAGAAAAACTCAGGGCATTTTTTTTCAGTCTAGAAACCTGCAAATATAGAAGAATCATGGGCGGTATTTGGAAATACTGTTGTTTTAAAATATTTGCAAATGTATGTAACAGTCAGTTCCTGCTTAGTATTTCTTATCTTTTAGTTTCTCAGGCTTATCGCCTGAGGGAACATTTACATTTAAATAACACAAAAAATACTGGTCGAAGACTAGGGGCCAATTTCAGCCAGTGTTTCAAGGTTTAGTTACATAAACATTTTCTTCAGAAACAAAGCTGGTGTAAGAAGTCCTCACCCATTCCCCTCCTTTCCAGAGCCTGTTGTCTTTGGCTGTTCCTTCCGGCTTCACATTACGCTTTACTGCCTCCTCACTTGTATTGCTACAATTGTTTGAGCATAATGATATAAAGAAGATTGCTGAAATAATTTGGATTTTAAAATGCTCCTTTGTTTTGAAGAGTCTCTGTTTAACCCAGAAGTGACCCAAGTTTATAGCACAATCCACATACATTCTAACTGGTACAACAATATGGTGCTGAAATGTAGTGTAGTGGGAGGAACAAGCAACTGGGGATAGGAGAAAATGGGGTGAGAACTTCCTAAACTAATTACCATCTAGAGAGAATATGTTGAACGATGTTTTCAGACTTACCACTTATCACCAACGAAATACGTGTAGTAACTGTGACTCACCAAGGACAAGGTTTTCTTGCAACATCTTTCTCCCTCAGCTTTTCTGTCCATTTGAATTTTGAAGAGGGCTGAAGGCTTTATCTAAGGGAAAATAAGTTGGATTTTAAAAAGAATTTGCCAGAAAAACAATCATAATACTTTTCCCAAAAGCTTGAAAATGTAAACAAGAAATTGTACCAAATCTGTGTCATTAAAATAGCTTCTGTTCTTTTCAGCTCCTGGGAGGAAAACAAGGTATTTTTAAAATCATATTTTACTTTTATTTCTCTAATATCTACAGAGTTGCCACTCCCTTTGGTGGTTTTGAGAGAGCATCAAAGCTGGTTAAATTCAAGGTACCAGATTTTAACCTACTGATGCTAAATGATCCCAGATTCATGATCCTTGCAAACCCTCTTGCTACCAGAAGATCCTTCAATAGGACTCCTAAAGGATGGACGTCCGAGAATATTCCTGTGGTGTTCATTCAGCCTTCGGATTCTAACGCTGTTCCAGAAACAGAGGACCTGTGAGAGAAGCTGCAGTCTACATCGTACAAAATGCTGAAAGCTGCACATCCATGTATTTTTGGTCCAAATATTACTAAAGGCTACTGATAAAACTTTTTCCTTGGCAGCTGGAGTATAAGTAATAAGGTCTGATGCAGTATCTCTTTTCTGGCACCCAGTTTCATCTGTAGACATAATATAAATAAAGTAATTTGGCAAATGTGACTGAGATATTTTCTATTTGTGTTTACATGTTCTTCTTTTACTTTCTAAAATGTTTGCTTGTCAGTTAAGAACAAGTGTATTAAGAAAAAAAAAGTGAGACTACTGTCAAGGGATTTGGTTTGATGGGTATGCTGGTTACGGTAAAACAGTCAAGCGCTACCACAACCATGTACTCAGTGCACCCTGAGTACTGCCTGCTCAAGAGAAGCTCTGATGAATCAGCCCTGCTCTCAGCCAAAGTTAAGTAGTTTGTCATTACTTCAGTGACAACAAGTTTAGGACATTTTCCTCCTTTCTGACTCTTACTCAGCTTTAATTATGGACAGCAATATCCATGTCACCTGGATTTGTTTACAGAAAATGCAGTAAATTTGGCAATGGCAAAGATTACGTGTTGGTATGAAAAAGTACAGAGGTATTTCCTGGATAAGTCTGGAGTGTTTGTGTTAATCACAGCTAAAAAGCCTCACCAATAACTGGTTATGTTAAACATACCAAATCAGCACCACTGAGCTATGTTGCCACAAATGCTTTTGGTACTCGAAAGAAATTTCACAGACCTCTTCCCTTACAGCCATAGTATATACTGGGGCTTAAAAGCATGCAAGCTTTCTTGCTCTTAGTATACGGGCAAGCTCTGACATTTTAGAAATAGAAGTATCAGACTCCTATTAAGCATCCATAACTACACAGGGGGCAGGCAAAAATCAGTAAGAGGGTGCTGTTTTTCAGCGTCATTTTTCAAGTTACAATACATTCTAGTAAGAGGCACACATCTATTTAAGAATTGCTTCTTTCTAAATGCTTTTGTGTTTGAGAAGTATCCAACATCTGCAGGTTGGATATTCTAATATACAATTTAGTTTGTATGTGTTTTGAAACAGGACACCTGGCTTCAACCAATAGGCCACTCTCATATATCCTAGATGCTTCTCCAGGGCATTATGGTCTCTAAGCGTGCATGCCACATCCAAGAGGTTTCTGCTATCTCAGATACTTATTTTTTCTTTAAATCAGAGTATTCATAAAATTCTGCAAGCTGTATGGTAACATGTTAATGAAATTTTATCTCAAAGTGAAACCACAGAGGATGATGATGGTAAGCAAATAAAATATTTTTTCCCAGATGTTTTCTTTATTAATAGTTTCTGTGGCGTTATGCTACAAAAGTGAGTATTTCAGAAAGAATCTCAACATCTGACGAAAAGAATGGTAGAGTGAGATTTAAAGTGGAAAGATCAACAAAAAGTTTTGCCTGTATTTTTGTGGCTGAAATGGTTTCCATGTTTCAAATTGATTTCAAGGCAGGTAGTTGGCAAAGGAAATTCTGTCATCTATTTTCTTTAATTTACTTTGTCACACAAACTGCACAAACAAATGTACAGGTCCTGAACAAACTTATGGGAAAAAAAAAAAAAACACCGAAACAAAACCCCAGCCTCATTGACTGAGAACACTTTCCTAGCAATGGATTAGTTTGGGGATCTTAACTGTGCATGTTGTACAACAATTATATGGACAATGACGAAAATATGAATTCTTCAAGGCTAAAAATACAAAGGCTAAAGAAAAAAACTACAGTGAGGAGCAATGAAAACAAGTTCCAGAGGAATTTTTTTTAATTTTGAGCCAGCATAAGCTTTCATAAGCCTATTTGAACAGAAATACGAGAAAATTGGTGCATAGCATATACACAGTGAGGACCGTGAGGAAGGGATACATCATTTTTACTGTATACTCTGTAAAAACAACCTACATACGCAGAGCATGCCACCTTGCTTCTTGCACAACACACGTAATGGTAACTTTAGTTTCCTATACATGTATGGATCCACTGGCGCAGAACGGGCTCAGGAGGCTTAAGAAGCTTGGGAAGCACTGAGCCTGCTCTGGACATGTTCAGTTGATGGTCCAAATAAGAGCATTAGGTGTGGTGGGAAATTACTGACAGTCCTTAAGTCCTCAAATTTTGCCTGAGACTTCTGAAATGAGTTGTCTCACAGCAAAACTGGCAGCTCTAATTCAACACTCAGCTACAGTTATCAACTGCAGCAGAAGAGTAAGAACTCTGTGCCTCCTGCTTACCTAGTTCTGCCATAGAGCTGCTTACGCACTAGCGCTGCAGCCATACTATTTCATCTTCCCATACCGGGTGGCTTTTGCCAAACTGCCGAGTGGGAACGGGCCCTTGACCACGCTGACTCTTGAACCATCCCTGGGAACTGTTTGGGAGAGCATTAAGGGGCAGAAGCTAGGTTGGCGCAAGGTGCTAAGTATCCAACAACACAGAGGATGGAGTGTCGGTGTCCAGGAACGCTCGCTGGCTGCATCAGCCTAGATGTAGCCTTATTGTGTAAGTCAGTCCCGCTGCAATAAACAAATCTCTGCCAAAAACCAATTCCTTTGCCACAAAGGAAGATCCCTTGTTAAGGCTGGGAATTCAGAGATTCTCTATGAACTTCAATGGGTTTTAGCACTTGCATTTATTTTGTGAGACACTAATATGGCACTTGAAACGTATCCTCTAAGTAGAGGGAAGACCAGTTTTGGGTAACTAATGACAAAGAACTTCAGAGATCAATATTTGTATTAATTTTTCTGGAGACAAAGAGAGGGCTCTGAAGTGAGAGAATAAAGGTTTCTTTAGTTAGGTCTGGAAAGATTCACAAATACATATTTTTAAATTTTCTGCTGTGCTTCTAAAAGCTTCTTTCAGCTGTAAGGAATGCAGCCGAAAGGATAGATTAAATGGAAAAACAAGAGCAACAGCTTTACACAAACATAAACAATCACAGGTATATAAATATTTCAGAGAATGTGCTTATAATGTCACGTACACTTTATCACAAGACACTCATATTTGCTTCCAAAAGAGAAAGAGACCAAAAGGTATGATGAAAAGGCAGAAATGTGGTGGGGATACATATATAGTTTAAAACGTTTAGAAGCCTTTGTTCCCAAAGTTTTTTTGGCCTCATTTTTATTTACATTAAGGTACACATTGCAGCAACATAAAGGGAACTTAAATTAATTTAAATGTTTTTACTAAAAATGTGGAGAATTGAGGAAATTAGATCTGCTATTTCCAAATCTATATAAAATACTCTGTGATTACAGCATGTAAAAAAGAAATGAGAGATGTACACTTCTGAGTAGTTCCATGAATATAAGGGGGTTTTTTGACACATATGCACCTTAAACCTCTTTTGCCATCAAAAGCCAGGGTTCATGTCCTGTACTGTCGGCATTGTTGAGGATAAATTGATATCAGCAATAATAGTCATTAGAAGGAGTTTGTATTTTAACTCTATACAGTTATGGCTTGAAAGCATGCCTATTGGTATCACTTACGACATTCCTATTTCACATACTTTGGACAGACTCATAAAAATTATATATTCATATTTCACTTTACTTAACTAAGCTAAGAGGCCAAATTACCCTACTATGCAAGTCCTTCACTGGCAGCACTGAAATGATTTCAGAAGTACTACATACAGCAGGTGATCTGAAATTTGTTCTTGAATCCAGCAGGCCACAGTCTCTCTGACATCAATTTCTGACCATGTGCTATTTGCTTATGTCTGGTATAAGGTACGTTTGCATGAATTGGGTAATAAAAACCCCATATGGTCTCTCTCCCAGTTTCAACAAAAAAAACCTGCAGCTGATTTGTCTTCTGGTTGTTGTGTAATAGAGAATACCTATGAGTATCAGGAAATGAACAATTCGTGTTGGTACTTTATTACTGTCCAGAAACATTTTGTTTATACCTGTGTACTTTGGATGCATATTTTTTTTTAACTGCATACTCCCTTCCTAGATGTCTTAAATATGTCAGCATGTCTTGGCTGCTTTCCCTCCTGCATAATCCATACAACTGACAATTGTGGAAATAAATTATTATCCTATTGTCTCAAAGTATCTCTGTGTTTCAATCAATTTAATATGCATTGTCGCAATCAAAAGCAGGAAAAACACATTGGAGATGGAATTCTGATCCAAGTGAAATCAAACAAGGGTTTTGGCACTCACCTCTGTGCAGACAGTACTTCACCATTCATGGACTTTATTGCATCTCAAATGTGTATTTGTAATTGAAGTTTACGCCACTATCGAAGCTACTACGTGTTCACCATCAGAACGGATATTTGGGACTACAGAGCTGGGCCTAACTACGTATGTAGTTTGTTTTGCATTGTACATACAATGAAGTGCAAACAACCCTGATAACACCTCAGTGGGAAACTGCATGGAACTGTAGGGGAAAAAAATGAGCACATATCTACTAAGATCTTAAAATTATTTTCAGACGAACCACGAATAACCTGCAATCTGCTTCCGTTCTTAGATGGTCTTACGAACCAGCACAAAATATTCTAGGCCGTTCCTAAGACAACAGGATAAAACGTACTCCCTGAAACATCGGACTCAATGTGGGGTCCATAAATTCTTAGCAGTCTAGATAGAAATACCAGAAGATCCCCATAGGGCTGACAAGTCACACAGTGCTGGTTCCTTCATTATTCTCAGAGGCTACCTACTGTTCAAAAACAAATACAGTGCTCTAAGTTATTTCTAAATAATGTATTTGCCACAGAGCTGTTATGTAATTGGGTGTGAGAATATAGATGATAAAAATAGTTTAAAAGTTCAGTCAGAATACTGATATAGTTTAAGAAACAAAAATTGCATATAAAATACTTTCACTGAAAGGAAATTAAAAAGCAACTGAAAGGGTAAAATGCTTTCAAAGAAATAATGCATTGTTTTAAACAACCTGCAGGCTAAGTGTTCAGAGTAAGTAAAAACTACTACAGAACTCTAACCCTCCCCTCCAAAAAAGTTAATATGGTTTAAAAGTAGAATAGAGGAGACTCAGAAAACAAAAGGACAAATGTGCAGGAAACAGTAATTAGACTATCTACACACAAATAAAGGAAGTTATGACAGAGGTCTCCACGAATGGTATGGAGAAGATGAGGAGGGAACAATA